ATCCAACAGGATGAGCTTGAGTATGTACACAGAGAGGCTGCTGGATCTGAAAGGCGAAGAAAACAAAGAGGACGAGGACGAGGACGAGGACGAGGACGAGGACGAGGACGAGGACGAGGACGAGGTAGAAAAGAAGGTCAGCGTTTTCCTGCATGCAGTCCTCACAAGTTAGCAAAGGATTTTACCTGAGAGGCAACGCCGAGCTACCGATTGAGGCAGTAGGAAAGGACCGTCACATCGCAGAAAGCTCGTGAGACTAGGATGGCTCACCCCTTGCGACGAGGAGGGCAGAGTTTGCTGAGGGGAAGAGGTGAGAAGGATACAGGGGGCCACGTCATGCTGCACCTGCAAGTGCTGGGAGGTGACGTAGATTGTTGGCGCCGATTGAAGGACCTGTAGGAAGGATGAACAGGAGGAGGAAGGAGGACAAGGGCGTGGTTGGGCAGAGACGAAAGGCGAGAGGAGGGGTAAGGGCATCAGAGAAGGGAGGAGAAGCTACTTGTTGCTGTTGGTTCTGCTGCTGCTGTTGTTGCTGTTGTTGCTGTTGTTGCTGCTGTTGCTGCTGCGCTGTTTGCGCCTGCTGAGATTGATCTGCTTGCGAGCTGAGAGAATGATGCTGAACGTGGGCGAGGTGGACCGACTGCTGATACTGCAAAGTTCCATCGACTGCAAGGCACGCAACGACATGTCAGAAAGGAGAGGATGAACAGGAGCGGATAAGAGCAGCACACCTGAAACAAGCTGTGGGTCTCTCGATGTGTACAGGACTGGAAGAACATTCACACGCATCGTGGACAAGAGCGAGAGGTCAGCGCCGTCACCGTCATTTTGAGATTTCATGCTGGACATGTCTGCTGCTGACATCTCCTGCATCATGGTATCGTCAACGACCTCTTCGCATGCTAGCAGAGTTAGCCCACCGAAGCATGCTGCTCCTGTGATGACGGCTTGTGCTGACTTTGGATAGTCTGCTGAGAGATTGGTCAGCTCTGCCTTCTGCACTTCTGCCATGCTCGACACCTGAGCTGTTGCTTGTTCAGCGACAGAGTTCGCTTCAAGGGGGATGTATCCGTCATGATGGTAAACCTGAGTCTCCTGCCCCGTCCAAACATGTCAGAGACGCTGCGGACGACAAGATGAGCAGCAACGATCACGTGGTACTGAGGAGTGACGACCTCGGTGTACTGCTCCGAGTACTGGACCAGAGTGTCACTGGATGGGAAAGGAAGAAGCAATCCACAACCTGTCCGCCCTCTATTGCCTTCGTGCTCCCCGCTGTCTTGTCCGACAGGCCCTCGACATGGGAAGTGACATCTAGTAGCAGCAGCTCAACACGATGATGCTGCTCTTGAAGCGAGGGCAGACCTTGGTTCGAGAAGGAGAGGGCTTGTCGATCGGCGAGAGACTGCAGGTTAGCGTTCTCAAGCTCATGCTCCCGTCGCTCCGCGTGCTCTCGAGCATGTATCTCTGCATTCATGGCCGTGATGGGCCCGTTGCCAGCTCCTTCGATGCGGCAACGACAAGGATCAGCATGCTGTGAACAAGGACATGTGGTCGGCACCATCTGTCGTCGGCTGATCGTGCAGCCCGCTGAAAGGATCACCAGCTGGAGGAGGAGAAGTTCAGAACAGTGAAACGAGGTAAAGCAAGAGGCAGTAGACATGGCCGGCTCTCACCAGAGGTCTCCCTGATCAGGCCAGTGGTGGTGTCCTGCACAGCAAACATGAGCCCTGCAGCAGCATCTCCGTCCCTTCACAGACCTCCGCCCATGCCGCATCTTCAGCATGGCCGCCCAAAGTTCCTGCAACGGTGTTCCTGTCTGGAGTCTGCAATGCCCTGCTCTCTAAACCTGTCCCTGGCCATCGACGTGAGCTTCTGACGCAGGGCCATGCAGAGGAAGTCACAAACCAGGCGTCCCAGGCTCCACGTAGTCTTTGCTAACATCCATCTCTCGAAGGCGCGCACAACCCTCCGTACACAAAGAGAATGTCTGCTAGGTGAAGAAATGTCAGCGCCATTCGGGCGATGTTTTTCTCTCCTATCACAACAGATATCCCTGCGATGGTGCGTACTGAGCTATCAGGAGTTTCACTCGAAGTTCATCAGACCCTTGCCGTTGTAGGCGGGGACTGACATCCCCTGTCCAGCATTTCTACTCCTTTCCAAATCTCCTCCTTGTACACGAAAGAAATGGACAAGACTAATAACCAAAGGGGCTTCAAAACCAAAGAAAACCCCCGAACTTGCTCGATGTCCTTGTATATCATGAATTTAAAGCATCTACATGTACTAGGTTCATCTTCTCTTTCTTTTTCCTCCATTTTTTCCTTCCCTAGTAACTAAAGCGACGGTCAAACACGTTTGAACCCGGTCAAATCATTACACCACCCCTACATAGGCCTGCTTGGCCACCAGGGATACCCCCACCACCCCCTGTGAAAGCCACCGGCAAAACTATTCTAGAATCCTTCCAAAATGTCTGTTAAATATTTAACAATGTGTCAATAATATTGAAATTTGAGAGAATGCCAATATGAAAACATCCCCTTCCAAATATGTACCCACCCCTTGCCATCGCTACCCTGTAAAATCATGACCCCACCCCTCTCATGTCTCCCTTCGTCTGCATGGGCCCCTGGGCCTGGTTTGGTCTATCGGCGGTTACAACTACCGGGCAGCCTAAGAGTCTTTGTAACCGTCGCTCGCCTCAGGCTCGGTGCGGGCCCGGCCGCGTGCGCCGGGGGGGGCAGGCCGAAGTTCCGTTACAATCCGTTACACCGTTGAAGCCGTTTGAAACTGTGGGTTCTACGCCCTGCGCACCCAGAGGGTAAATGACCCCTCCTTTTCCCAACTTTAGTACCACCCCTTATGGTATCGTGACAACCCCCCAGCTCCTCCATCCTGCCCTAATTCATCTATGGGAGTGACCTAACAAAGGGTGGGGTACACTACCCTACCTATCAACCCCATGATGTCTTGTGGAGTACCAAGTACCTACCCATACCTACCCAGTTGGTTTCATTTATATTGACCAGGTGATAGACGCGGGAGTTGACTACCCTACCTACCACTGACCATTGCTGTACCCTTCCATGTTGGATAGGGTGGTACCCCTATGGTAGTCTGTCCACCGGCAAGGATTCGGGAAGGGTGGGTAGTAGGGAGGTCAGGCACTACCCATATTTCTACCAGATTCTCGTGGTATTGGTATGGGTGGGGTGGAGGCATCTATGCGTTTAACCACCCCCACCTACCTCCAAGAGTTTGTGGAGAGGCCGGTAAATGGAGGCAGGAGGCCAGTGAGGATGCGGCAGTTGAAGATGAATGGTGGGAAGCAGGAGGAGGATTGAAAAGAAAGAGGATGGATAGATGTATCATGGCAGAGACTGAGATGATAACTTGCGGTTTAACGATTACATCGACCATGCTTCACTAATGAATGATGTGGAGCCACGAATTGAAGATAGGAGGAGTGAGGATTTAGGCAGATACTTCAAGAATATTTGAGTTGGAAGAGATCATAGAAGGAGCAAACACTGGAGACTCTATCGAGTGAGCCGTACGAGTACCTGGTTTGGACTGAAAGCTTGCATACATTGTAGCAACGGCTGCAGATTTTGAACCTGGTAGAAGAACTTGAGGAGAGGTTTTTGAGAGCGGCACGTAGAATTACATAGCCTGCTCGATTAGAGTGGAGACATCACTCTCCTGTTTATAGCATCTTCCATGGAGTTGGGCAGGATTACTCTGAATACTTCGTGTTCTTGCTTCACTCGACACTACGACTGGACAGTCGTTGGTGCCGGCGTTCTATCCAAGGGCTTCTCTTGTTGATTTCTGTCATTGAAGAGTTGTTGTTTGGTGCTCGTCTTGTTTCTTTGGGGTGAGATGGAGTGTTGAATCAAGTCAGAACATGGTTGAAGTTAAATGTAGCTCAGGAACACATTTGATCCTCACAAGTTCAAAATTGTTCCTCTGCCTGGAAATTGTTTCAGAGCTTTCCCTGACATGATGAGGCAGACGGTTCACCGACATTGCTGAGCTCGTCTGTGGGATGCTGCCCCCTTGCGAGGGAGAGACTGGGGAAAAAGAGCTCTATGAGGACAGAGGCCGCAGCAGCGTGTGCTAATCGTGCTCAACCAGAAATTGTGATCTGAATCCAATCCTCTCTCAACCATCAAGATGCCAGTAATTTTCGTGGGCTCGATGCTCTGCAGTTGGAGCCCAGCACGGAGCATGCGCTTGTTGATCATGCTTGCCTTCCTCCATCTTGTCGGGACAGAGCGAATCGCCGAGGGCAATCCCGCTCCCCACAGGACTCCCTTCAGTGAGACCGTCTCAGTGTCTCTGCTGGCTGCCTGACTTGCACGTCAGTTGCTAGGGAAGCACGCGGATGGCACTTGTCATTCTGCTCCTTGGATCTGAAGCAGCACAGGTATGAAGTGGATGATGACCCGCTCAATTGGAAGTACGATGTACTGACTGGGATTTTTGGCGTTTGACACACAGTCCGAACCTGTCGTTCTTCGGGAAGAAAGAGGCCACCGATCCCCCGAAGTCCACCGTGCACATCAATCCTTGCGCTCTGATCACGGACTTCATCACTGGTGATGAGATCACCTCCTGCTCACTGCTTGTGATGACTTGATATTCAGCTCGCAGTGCGAATTTTCATCTTTTCGAGCCTGAGAAGAAGCCGAAGGAGTTTGTATTCCCGGCAGGAAAGAAGAAGGATAAAGAAGAGGTATCTTTGCTCTGGCTGCCTTGATGTTTGCTCTCCCTCCCTAATGGACCCCTCCCCGAACCGATTCATCGTCTAATGATACTGAGATGCTGCTTTCCAGCCGATTGAGGTGATCCGTTGGAGTGAGGTGATGATTGAGATGTGGTGGTGTCTACGTCTGAGTTGATGACAAGGTCACTCCGTGGAAAGTTGTTGTTGCGGACTCCCTGGCCACCTGCATCGAGAAATGTTTGTGCCGGCCATTGTACAACTCCAAGTCCTAACTAGAAGCAGGCGTCATGTACCCACTTGACACTCTGCGAACGAGAATGCAGATGGATCCGTCGAAGAAAGTGTCGCTGCTGAATCAGGCAAGTAAACGTGTGCTGCGGTGGCTGAAACAAACGTGATGAGGAGAGGGAGAAGAAGCAATGGGCAGAGTGAAGCTGGAAAGGAGAATTCAGTGGAATTGGAGGAGAAGGAGAAGGAGAATGAGAAGGAGAATGAGAAGGAGGAGGAGGAGGAGGTTGAGTCGTTTGGTGGATAGAAGAAAGATACAAGCATGTCAATGATGTCGACGACAATCCCTGTAACGTCCGTTGGTCTTGATCTGACAGCTTGCAGATTTGGGTAGTCACAAAGAAAACCTGGATGGAGGGGTGGAGGATGCGGTCCAAGGGAGGGTCAGAGCTCCGCACTCCGCTGCAAACTGCTGGAAGCGTCATTTCCGGGGTCAAGGGGTTCTATCGCGGTTGTCTGTTCAGTGCAACAGCACAGGTGGTTGAAGGAGGCGGAGAGGATGGAAGTGCGTGCGCTGTTGCACTTGAGGGGCGATGGGAAGGTGGAGGAGAATCAGAGATGGAGGGCGCGCGTTTGTAGAGCAGAGGGGAGGAGAGAGTGTGGAGACTGAGATCGTCGTGTAGATCCCAAGCAATGCTCTTTATCTCTGCACCTACCAGGTTGTTCCTCCTCCTCCTCCTCCTCATCATCATCATCATCATCATCATCATCATCATCATCATCATCATCATCATTCTTGCTCCTCCTCCCTTTGGCCTACTCTCTTGTCGTCCTTGCTATGCCATGGTTGTGACGCCCCTGCAGTGGTTCAAGGAGATGATTGAGAAGAGGACGGGGAAGGTAAGAGGGCACACAAAGGGAGAGGATCGGTATCATCTGACCCGTTGTGTCGTGACTCTAGGTCGACGAGGGTTCTCCTTTCGCTCCCTTGATCGCGGCCATGGCTTCGGAAGTATGTCGTAAGGATTGTCGAATTCGGCAATCTGATCGTTGCTGGCAGACTATCTGCACCATCTTTGAAGTCCCGCACGATGTCATAACGCAACGGGTCCAAGTCAGTTTTGGCTCCTGCCTGTATACCATGCTGATGCTTGAGGCAGATGCAGCATGCTGCGCTCCCTTTCACCAGAAGTCTCTCGACGGTAAGGCAGATACTCCGCGTCCTTCCAACAGCAGATGGTCCTTCCAACAGCAGATGTTCTATTCGCCTCACTGATCGCCCTCGTTGGATTGATGGTGATGGTATCATGTGACATACTTCACCCCAGCCATCACGAGGGTATGCTTGCTTGAAGTCGATTCTCTCCCAAGAAGGTTTTCTTGCTCTGTACAAAGGTGACGCCACATATCTCCTCTCCCTTCGCTCCCACTGTCCTCTCTTCCCATCCCCTTGTCCTTTCCTTCTCGTTCTCTTTCCTTTCAATCTCTTTGTGTTGGTAACTATCAAAGCAGGAACAAGTGCGCACTTGCTGACTTATGTCCCTTGGTCGGCCACCTGGTTGCCCTTTATGTCCTCAATTCTACTCCCCATCCTCCTTGTCGTCGTCTTCATCATTGCCGCTCTTCGTCCTCGTCCTCCTCTCTCCTCCTCCTCTCTCCTCTCCTGTACGAACGAGCTCAAGGAGCAAGCAGGTGGGCAAGTTACGAGATGGGTAAAGTGATTCTCGGGAGGCTGGGACAGCCCTGGGACATTTCAGGCAAGACAAGGAGGAGGAAGAAGGAAGGGGGGGGCGGGAGGGGGCTGAAAAGTGGAGAGAGACAGGGAAGGAAGCGAGAGAAGGAAAGGGAGTATAAGGGAGGTGGGGGGGGGAGAGGGAAATTGGTAAGGCAGGATGCTAAGACAAGGAGCAGGACCGCCTGTTCACATGGCAGCTGGTATGACAGCTGGCTTCATCGCCGCTGCTGTCTGCAACCCCATCGGTGAGGAAAGGATGAAAGGGGGGGATCAGAGGAGGGGGGGAGGGAGGGAGGGAGGGAGGGAGGAGGTAAGAAGGGATTCCAAGAAAGGAGGGAAGATGTAGATGGGAGGGAGGGGGGAGGGGGGGGGAGGAAAGTGACTTGAGCGAATACAGATGTAGTGAAGACTAGGATCCAGTGCGATCCTCATCTCAAGGGCCAGGTGAAGGAGCGAGGGCGATAATGTCAGCTGTCTGACACCCTTGACCTCGCAGAGCATCATGAAAGTTGCCAAGGGGATCGTAGGGCGAGAGGGCCCGCAGGTCGTGGCTGCTTCCTCCTTCGAGCTGCGTGTAGGGTGACGCTCGTGCTGTCAGGCTCTCTTCAAGGGGCTGGCCATCGCGCTTCTGTTCGATTGTCTGGTGTCAGCTGGAGGTTCGACCTCTCCGCTCTTTCTCCCCTCCCCCCTACCTCTTCCCTTCCTCTTCTCTTCCTCCCCCCTTCTTCCCCTTCCTCCCTTCTTGTTTTGTTTCCACCTTGGGTCCCCTCGATTCCGCTCCTGCCTTCATGACATCAATCTACTGTCCACCTTACTTGCCTTCTGTCTGATCATCATCATCATCATCATCATCATCATCATCATCATCATCATCATCATCATCATCAGCATCAGCATCAGCATCAGCAGCAGCAGCAGCCTTTTTCTCCTCCTTGTCCTCTTGCACCGCAACGTCCCCTCCCTTTCTCTTGTACTCGCCCTGCTCTACCTGCGCTATCGTTTGATCCTCCAACCTCCCTGGGAGGCTGACTGCTGCCACAGGCGGCATCCGGTACGAGATGGTCATGGGGTTCTCCAAGAAAGCGAAAACAGAAGATGGTGAGGCAGCGGCAGCAGCAGGAGGGGGGGGAGAGGGTACGTCCCTGCCTAGAGCAGCAGCAACAAAATTTACAAGAAAACGACAAGAACAAGCAACCGTTGAGACGTTCCTCCGCAATGGAATGAGACTTCGTGATATTCACTCCGGCATATCCTCTAAATCTCCATGGCAACATTCATAGCCGGGCTGCCCAAGAATCAGAGCAAGCAGGTGTAAGAGGAAGGGAATGGGCGGGGGCGTCTGTCCCGTGCTCTTCCTGTCTGTGGACACTTCTCCTCCTCTGCTGATGGTCAGCATGGCGAGACGAGGCGACAAGTCTAGCACAATCCTTGTGCTCGCACTAACGCTTGTATCTCTGCATCCTCACTATCGGGAAGCATCGTAATCCTGATGATCTGAAATCGCACGCGTTATCAGCCGCATTGCACACTCCACCTCTTCTCACCGTAGGCCGTCTCCTCCTCCTCGCTCTCCAGCTCGTTCTCGCGCTCTGGCAGCATGCTCGTGCGAGCCGACAAGATCGCTTCAATCTCTCCTGCAGCTTGGGTCAGACCCTGCCTCCTCCCTCGCACAGTCAACCTGGTCGTCCCCAAGTCTCAAGCACTTCCCTGAGGAGAGGAGTCAGCAGAAAATGGAGGAGGCACGCCTGTGGCGCTGAATGGATGGGAGGGGCAGGACCAAGGAGGAGGGAGGAAGGGGAAGGGGGGCAGAAGGGGCCGGGACAGGGAGGAGGGGAACGAGAGGCGGAGGCACCAAGAACCTGATCATCTCGACTTGCTCTTCGTCCAGCCTGGGCGCAATCTCCTTTGAACGATTGATGAAACCCTCTATGACGTAAGCAGGGGGTTGCAACATCAGGACCTGGAGGGACCAGAGCAGGAACGAGAGCTCGAAGGAGCTGAAGGTGGAGGCAAGGTTCTGCGCGCGGAGGGTGAGGCACTCCAGGATCTTCTCGGTGACAGTCAGGCCGAGCATGGCATGGCTGCGGAGGATGTCGTGGAGGTACTTGACGTCCAGGTAGTTGATGCCCTCCGCCAGCCGCTTCATCATTTTGTCGTGCACGTCTTCGGGAGGCCTCAGCTCAAGCTTGGACATGGCAGTCAGGACGCTGCCGATCTCGTTTGCCTCCATGCCCTTGGTGATGTTCCGCACTTGCGCCATGATCAACACGATGTCTTGCTCGTCGATCTTGAGCTGCAGCTTGAAGTGGGCAAGGAGGTAGGCGCTGACCTTCCACCCGTCAAACCTCGGTATCATGACGGGAGAGAGCTGCGACAGAGTTCGCTGGAGGACGGGGGAGGATGAATGTTGAGGTTCGAAAACGCAGCGAGCAGACGGACGAAGTATGTATCACACCTGGGCGTGCTCCACAGAGGTTTTCTTGCCAATTTCAGCGAGATCACCTCAATAAGTTGGTCGTCAGGCTTCACTTGCCACTGGCTAAAGTTCCACAGGATGTTCACAAGGCTGTCCACGTTGATCACAGACTCGTTCTTGTACACGTACTCGCTCAATATCGCTGGCAGCTCCTCGCCCCAACTCTCTTTGCTCCTGACCAGGTTGTCAAGGACGGACACGAAGGTGCCCTGGTGCATGGAGGGGAGGAGCAACTTGATATGCTCTGTGATGGCTCCCTTCATCTCTCGGCTGAGGGGATACCTGAGCTGCTTCAAGGCTAGCAGGAGCATGTTGAACTCCTCCTGCTTGAACTGCTCCATCAGTCGAATCGCCTGTTTACAAAGCTCTTGATACAGCTCAGTGTCAAGCGCCTTTCTCTGCTTGGAGTATGACCACAGAATCATAGAGATGCACTGGGGGGTGAGGAGAGGCAGGTTCTTCATCGTCCCATCATCCAGCTTGTACCTCAACTCTCCCTCCAAAGGGACCTCAAGCACGGCACACGACCAATACAGCAAACCCAGCGAGACAGGGTTTAGCTCGGGGATCGTTGACTGCGCGTGATCGAGGAGGAGGAGGAGATCGTTTTGCTCAGGCAGGTGCCTGAGGGTCGCAAGAGACCACAGGAACCTCACCACAGCGAACCCGTTCATCCTTCGCACTTGTAAGATTCCCCGACGCAGCAGAGCCTCAAGGGCTTTCTCGAGCCAGAAGGTCTCGGACTCTATGGCTGCCCTTGCGCTATCCTTGAGTCCCGTGTGCCCGACTACCTTGAGCTGGGTCCTCCGCGGCTTCAGATGCTTCCTGCTTGCCCGCGTCAAGACCGCGAGCCTGTGCATGGCGCTGATGACGTTCTGGTAGCTGAAGCCCTTGATGTTCTTGAGGCAGTAGGCAATCAGAGTAGAGGAGTTGTCTGTGGTCCTGATGAACTCAGCGTTCTCTTGGGTTGTTGGTCCTGTCATGAAGGTTGGTGCGCTCCTCAGAAAGTTGACCATCGTTCTCTTGCAAGCGATCCTTGCGATACGGCTGCTGTTGGGAGGAGTAGCGGGAGGAAGAGATGGCAACTGCAGAGCTGCACCAGCCTTGTACTGCAAGAAAGTGGAAGCATCGGGCGATGAATAAGAACTGGAGCACGGGGGGGAGAAGGGATGATGAAGAGAGGAGGGAGGAGCAGACGACAGGCCCTCGGAAGCATAGGAAGCCCGTCCTAGGAGAAGGGAGGAAGGACCAACGCACTGAGGAGATGGGATCCTGAGTGCGGGAACATCTCGATGCGAAACGGTTGTTCTGAGATGAGGAGGAGGGAGGAGGGAGGAAGGAGTCACAATGCGCCGCGCGCTCCTGCATATCCTTCCTGCCTCCCGCTGCACGCGCATGGTGACGGCCTGCTTACGACCGGTTTCGTGTCCCGTACAAGGAACAAGTGAAATTGCTAGCGATCCCTTTAAATCATTTAAATGAGTTTTCCAGGATTTCTTGCAGTCTGGCTGCCCGCGACCAAGTGCGGTAGCGTGTAGATTCAAGTGTAAGCGTGTAGATTCAAGTGTAAGCGTGTGGGTTCAAGTGTAAGCGTGTAGATTCAAGTGTAAGCGTGTAGGTTCAAGTGTAAGCGTGTAGGTTCAAGTGTAAGCGTGTAGATTCAAGTGTAAGTGTGTAGTTCAAGTGTAAATGTGTAGGTCTAGTCTTAAGTGTTCAAGTCCCTTCAGCTCCCTCTCAGCACCAGAGCCTTGGCGGCTACGAACTCATCGGCAGAAAGGAGGCGATTGTTGTACATCTCGGCGAGCCTTGCAAGCTGCTCGTCGACAGCGCGTGGTTGGGAGGAAGGGGGGGGTAAAGAGGAGGAGGGGAAGGAGGAGGAGGGGGGGAGGAGGAGGAAGCAGAGTGGTTTGAGGATATGAGACTTTCGATCTTTTCCATCGACTTGGCGATGAGGCGATCATGGCGGGTGACCTCCTCATGCTGGAAGCGAAGCAGCTTCGAGAGCTGGTCGAGCTTTCGGCCGACATGGTCGTTGACGCGCTGCTCTTCGAGGAACATGCTTCTGACGTGCTCCATGAAGGCGCTGATGCGAAGCAGGGACTTGCGCTCCTGCGAGGTGATCTGTTTGTCCTGCGTCTTGGTGCCGAGGGAAGTTTGCTTGCTGTGGGAGAAGTGGAGGTCGAGGAGGAGGGAGGTGTTGTAACCGGGATACTTCTGTGAGAAAGTCAGGGGGAGGAGGGGAGGAGGAGGAGGGGCGGGGGGAGGAGGGTCGGGAAGGAGAGGGAGAGAGGCGGGAGAGGGAGGGGAGGAGGGGAGGAGGGGAGGGAGGATTGAGGCGGGGATGGGGAGGGACGGAGGGTCAGAAAGAAGAGGAAGAAGGAGGGGAAGGAGGGGAGGAGAGGAGGAGGGTCGGGAAGGAGAGGGAGAGAGGAGGACCTTGAGGTAAGTCAGGCGATGGTACAAGAATGTAGCAAGTGAGATGATGATGGAGAAGACGTTGAAGGGCGCGGGGATGACGATCGCAATCCTGAGCATGACGAGTGACGTTGCGAGGAGAGAGGGGGGGAGAGGAAGAGGAGGAGAGCGGGAGAGTGGAGGAGGGGGGAAGGGAGGAGTGGAGACGGGGAGGTGAGGAGGACAGGAGAAGGGACAGCACCTAGTGAATTCCCTTGTCACTTGATAGAGATCTATCAGCCACTGCCTGTCGGATTGCTGCTTGATTTC